ACTTTTGCCTTGTGGAAAAAAGGGTGGGATTCAAAGACAAGATCAGATCACTAGTGGGCAGTGAGCAGAGCTGTACTTTCCCCTTGGCTGGGGAACCACAGTGGCATTTGGTAGTGACCTCAATCTGGGGTGATTCCAGCTTTCTTAACTTCATTCTTAAATGAATTCACATGGAAAAGTTTTAATAAACTTTACTGAAGTAAATTGTGTTTACTTATAGATACATCCATGTGACCACCTCCCAGATCAAAATATAAAACATTTTTGCTATCCCAGAAAGTCCTCCCGTGCTACTTCACAATGGATGTTCCTTCCAGAGGTAACCAGCATTTTAACTTTTACCATCATAAATTAGTTTTTATTTTGCTTAAACTTTATTTAAAATAGGATCATACAACATATTCCTTTTTGTGCCTGGCTTCTTTACTCAGGATAATGGTTTTACAGTTTATTCATGTTGTTGTATGTACTTGTAGTTTGTTCTTTTTTATTGCTGAGTAGTGTTCCAAAAAAAGATAACCACACAGCCAGTAAGCATATGACAAGGTACTCATTTGTTGTTAAGTAAATGCAAATTAAAACCACACTGTAATGCCAGAATGAATAGAGTTTAAAAGGGCTGGCAATGCCAAATGTTGGTGAAGATGTGAGTAACTGGAGTTATTATACATCACTGCATTAGTGGTAGAAGTGTAAAATGAAACACTCCTTTGGAAAACTTTGTCAGTTTCTGAAAAAATTAAACAGAATCCAACACTTCCATTTCTAGATATATATGCAAAAGAAATGAGTGATTAGGTACACAAAAACACATGTAGAAAGATGTCCATAGAACCCTTATCCATAATGATTCAACACTGAAAATAAACCCAATATGTATCATCAGAAGAATGGATACATAATCTACGATATACTCAAATGAATATTTTTTGAAGGTCTGCTATGTGCAAAACACACCCCTCACCCTTGGCATCTTTTCCTTTAGTGGGCATGACACCCTCTCCTTGGGGATTCCATTTCATTGTCAGATTCCTCTGAAAGCAGAGAGAGAGCAGGGACACTAGATATTAATATGTCCCGGCACCAGACACAAGCCCAACTTCCCCAGTGACTATCACACTCTAGGTTCTAGGTCACACTGTACTCAACAAATGTCTGATTACTTAATCACTTCATGATGCTAGACCCTGAGCAGAAGATACAAAAATGATTAAGCCATGATCCTTGATGAGAAGATAGTGATTAACAGGTTGATTCTTGGACTCAGAAAGACCTGTGCTTAAATTCTAAGTCTTAGTAGCTATGTGTTCTTGGGCAAACCCAGGTCTCCTAATCTGTGTAAGGCATCTATATATACAACGCAAACAATCACAATAGTGCCCACCAAAAAAGCGTCCTGAGAATTTAATGAGAGGATACATGTGAGCAATGTATGGTGCACAGGTTTTAAATCAATGCTATTTATTATTATTATTGTTACTATTATTAATGTTCTCAATCTAGTGAGGAGAGAAGGTAAATAATAACTAATTATAAACATAATGCAATGATAAGAGAAGTCAAATAAATGTAAAACATGTTTCAAGGATATTTAGGGGAGAAGAGGCTAATTTGAGCTAGAAAAATTCTGGTTAGTTCTCATGAGACCAACAGAGAATTATGATTTGTCAGCTTAGGAAACAAGAGCTGTGGCTTTAATTTTCATGATCAAAGAGTGCAGTAAGAGGTAAAATGATGTAAAATAAATAGCATCAGGTTTGAAACCCCACAGCCTTTGATTTGAATTGAGGCTTATCCATTAATTGGCCAGAGGATTTTGGACAAGTAATTTAACTCCTCCACACTTCATTTTCATCATTTGCAAATGATGACAAATCTTATTTCTAATGGTTGAGAGTAAAAAGAAATATTTATCAAACATCTCACACAATATCAATTACTCAATGCATAAATTTTAACAATTATGCATTGTTAAACAATATTCTATAAATATAACAATAATATATTTAAACATATTAACTGACTATGAAACTAAGGGTCCACACACTATTTCTCTTAGAGTGAGGCTTGGGCAGGGGGGCAGTTCTTTCCAAAAAGGCAACATCATGACCAACCTGGTGGCATTTGCCTCCAGCAATGACTCTTCAGAAGTTATAACCACTTGGAGAACCTTGCAGTCCTTTCAGCCAGGAAAATGCCCATAACATGAAAATTTTTGCATTCATTCCAGTGGTTCTGACACTCCCATAAACACAATTCATGAAATTACTGTTTCCAGAACCCTCAATGAAAAACTTAGCACCAGAAAACAAACAAACAAACAAACAAAAACACAAGCCAAATCATCAAAGGCAAGTCTTTTAGACTCTCACTCCTATTACCTGCTATTTGATTTTTACTGAATAGAAAGTAAGTTGGCAGATTCAAGTACAAACAGTAAACCTGGTAAGAAGCACTTTTCTCTGTGATGGCATTTTTTTTCTCACTCCAATAGTTTACCAAATTTCAAGCACCATTAATGCTGTGTTAATCTGGCACTGTCTGCAGCCTGCCGAGCCCACAGACAAGAGCTCCACTGTTGCAATCTTCAAGTCGGTGGTCTCGTGTGCTTGTCAATAAATCCACACATGGAGTCGTTTGTCAAACCCCTGCTGCCATCAGCACATTTCCTTTCCCAAATGGATACCTATTCAGTACACTCAAGCCCTGCCCTCACATTGCCAAAGGGCCAGGTTGACTGAGGGATTTTTAAAATAATGTTTTGCCCAGATAGTTTGATACTGTGTGTAAACAGTCTGAATGTTTGATGAGATGCGATTTTGATGTAGGGAAAAAAAAGGTGCATTTTCACTTGAAATGTCTGCAAAAACTGCTATGTCTTTCCGAGAATGCCACCTTTAATTTAATGCTGACAAGAGAAAGATAATCAGTAAATCTCAGATTCCCAGTAGTTTGCTTCTATCATCATTATCATCATCATTATCACCACCATGCTGTTTCTTGCCCATTTGTTCAACCCTTCCTCCCATTCCATTCTCTGCCCTTGTCTATGTCCCCAAAGGATGATTCCTATAGACCCCACCTTCCAGGCTCCCTTACTGCCATTTTCCTGATTGGCTTAGTCAACTGGAGGCAAAGGCTGGAGACCAAAGTATGGGGTATTTCTTTGCCCTTCCTCCCTGCTTTGCTTGCATTTCTAAGAGTAGCTACCTCCCTTTATTCACAGCTGCTGTCAAGTGAATCTGCTCCAAGAATTTAGCTCTCACTCAACTCTGTAATATTTGCTCTCCTTGCCCCTTAGAACTAAGGGTGGTAACAGCTTCCCACTGTTGCTAATCTCTGGATGCTGCAGCACCTCTGCATAGTTTCCTGACCTTGCTCACTGCACATCCTTCTGTGAATGTCTCTGATATCATCATATTGAACATAATCTTCTCTTTGACTGTTATTGATTTCTTCTCACTGTCCTGAGTGCCCCAAAACACAAACTCATCCAGCCTTGACAAAAATTCCATGAGGAAAGTATTTTACAGATGAGAAAGCCAACGTCGCAGTTTTAAGGATCTTATTCCAAGTAACACAACTAGGGAGTGTCAGAGTCAAAATTAAAACCCAGCTCTTTCCACTCCAAAGCCTGTTGTTAACCACTGACAACAATTCTGCAATGTAGTCAACATAAGTATCACTTAAAGTGTTTGTTGAAAATCCAGATTTTGGGAAACCTACTCAGACCTCCCTTCTGAGGAAGCCATTTCTAAGGGTTTAACTTGAGCAGTGACATTGGCTCAGGAGCATCATGTGACCCACAGGAGATAACTGCATGGGGTAACTGACAACCTACAGGGTGAACTGGCACTAAAACTCTGACCAGTATGAGCAATGGCAATTAGTAAGGCCAAATAAACTCTCTCCTGCACCCCAAATTTGAATTTAAAATGCTGAGGAAATTAGTGAAGAGGTAGAGGGAAGAGAAAAAAGAAAACTCATAAAGAGAAGTAGGCAATGAGAGAGTGACACACATGGTCATCTGATGATGGAGCAGTGACCAGTGAAGCAGCAATAAGGTAACAGGGCCCTTAGAGCCTATTGTAGCCTGAATAGTGATTATTCTTAGCTTTTCTTGAGAATTCTAGCTCCTCTCACCCATCAGCTCACCAGTGACTCATGCAATTGTTTAACATGTCTTCCCTGAACCAGATTCATTCGCCTGAGCTGATACATCCTCTCGTTTTTACAGAAAGCGTCCTAAGCTACCACAAGTGAAATAGCCTTCCTATGGGCCTTCATGCATTTACTCTGTCCACCTCTCTAAACCATTATTCACATTGAAGCTGGAGTCATCTCTCAAAAACTGTAAATTTAACTTCATTAACCTCCTTGCTTAAAATACACAAATGGTTTCCTATTCTTTTGACATACAGAAAGAGCCCCTGCAGTGACCTACGAGTTCCTGCATGGCCTGGCCACCAAGCCTGCTCTTCAGCCTCAGCTTGAGACATATGCCGCCTTGATCTCTTTGGTTCAGTCACACCGGCCTTCTTTCAGTCCCTTCTGATCACCACATTCCCTCCCACTCATTCCTTCTGCCTACAATATTCACCCTTGCACCTAGTTAACACCTACTCATCATCAAGGATCACTTCCCCAGGGATGCCTCTCTGATGTCAATCTCATGGCATCTGCCTTGAATAGTATTGTTCACAGGTATGACTTTTTATGCAATTACTTAATATCCGCCATTCCCACTAAACTTCTTGAGACCAGGCTCTGTGTCTGATTTTGCTCACTGTTACTTCCCAAGCACCTTGTGCAGTGCCTGGCTCACAGTAAGTATGAAAATATTTATCGAATGATTTGATGTCTACATACAATGACATTGTGGAAAAGTTCTTCTAGACATGCAACTGTATAGTTGTCATGGAGTGAATGACAATAGTAACAGTGGGCAAGTGACTGCTTGCTTAGGAAGGACTGACACAAAACAGAAGACAAGACAGTGAGTGGCCAGTATACACACTACCGAGGACAAAGCTCTCTACTTGGAAGGGGATCCCAATCCTTCTGCCGCCCCGACATTCACCTTAGCACCTAGGAAAATGCCAAAGGTCAGTGGCACTTGGCTGTCTTTTACTGAGTTTCATTTAAGTTTGCAGATATATTTCCAAAGAGTTTATGTCAACAGCTTTATAGCCAAGTTATTACCAGTTTGGTGCCTATTACCTACCCCAATCCAGCTTTAAATTCACTTGGAAAAACAAAGACAACAAACGTGCAACCTTGACTGCAAACTGAAAAGATGGTGCAATTAACACAAATATCTTTTATTGCCTCTTGAGAAACATTTGTAAATCAAAATCGGTAATGACTTTAACTGTGTGGCATATTCTCTCAAATTATCCATGACAGAGAGAAATTGTTTTATATAATTCAAATGTGTAGTTAGGTTTAATAAATGAAAAATGTTCTTTCTCATGTAATTTCATTTAGGAGACTGGCTTTAATTCCAAAAACTTTCTGTGGACACCTAGCAAGTGCTGGTGCTCTGCAAGGCCAGGGGAAGGAGATATGGAGATGAACTGCATAGCTCTTGTTTCTCAATTACGGCAATAGAAAGAAATATATGTTACAAGTGCACATTGTGCAAAATGAAATGTCCTTCATTTTATAAAGGAAATAATAATGGCGCAGAGGTTGTAGAAGAGCAGGAGGTGCTCACCGAGAAGACCATGAAGGTTCAAGATAAAACAGGGTCCAGCTTTGTAATGTTACAAGTGAAAAAAATGAGGACTCCCAAAGACAATGATCCCTCAACTAGTTAATGCCAAAACCAGATCCTGAACCCAAAAGTTCCTTTTAAGGAATTATCTAAGATATTATCAAATTCTGTTATTCTTATTGGCTTTCTTGAAAAAACACTCCAGCCATTAGGGGTTGAAATAGTCAAGCAAACTTTGATTTGCTGTTAATAAGGGAGCAAGATACAACTTCCTGCCTCCAATCTGGCCCCTTTTCAATCTACTTCTGATATAGTCATGAAATAATTTCCTAAAATGCAAATCTGATCACATGATTCCCCTCGCCCTTAGGATAATAACTGGTATCCTTAATAAAGCCTCCAAGATTCCACATGCCCTGGCCTTGCCTGGCCCTTTAACACGTCTCCTTCTTTCTCTAGGTTTCACCCACACTATACCTCCTCTGGTTCTTCAATCATACCGTGATTTCTGCCACATCAGGCCTCAGCACATAAGCTCCCTCTGCATGGAACACTCTTCTTCTTCACTGCTGATTTGTTATGCTCAGGCAGAATGCCATTACCCTGACTGTAAACTAGGTTAGTGCCTCTTCACCTCTCTATGTGCTCTGCCATCACTTTTTATCAAGTTACCTGCCTAGTAACTGTCTTCTTTTCTAGACTAAGTCCCAAGAGGGTAGGAATGTCTCTATCACTCATGCATCCCACACCTCAGCATAATGACCAGGCTCTTAGTTAGGAAGGCTAAGTTGCTGGAATAAAAAAGATTTCAAAGTCTGAGCATTTTACAGAACACAAAGTTCTTTTTTCTTTGTCATGTGACACTCCAGAGTGGGGGTTCCAGGTCTGTGGCAGTTTTACTCTATGCAGTCACGTGAGACACAGGCTGATCATCATGTAGCTTCTAAAGTCTTCCTGATCATTTCCACCTTAGTCAGCTCGAATGGGAAAGAGAATGGAGGAGCTTACGTGGAAGGTGTTCACTTCTCTTCTGCTCCTTTTCATCTGTAGGAACTTAGTCACGTGTCTGCCTAACTATAAGGAAGACTGAACTATGTAGCTAGCTGACCAGCCATGTGCAGGCATTTCTTTCCTATGTGGCAAAGGAAGAAAAGATTTTGGAAGACAGATGACTGCTCCACTAAAATGCTCAGAGAATATTTACCAAAAGAAATAATTTTAAATCATTGTATTCCTCTGCTTTACATTCTCCTATCAATACCCCAACTCCCAGAATCATTATGTTTCTTTCATTTTGTTGGCAGCATTTCAGTATCCAAACAACTGGCTTCAATAAAAGGTAAGGCACAGATGACTGAGATGCACATTTTTCTCCTCTACCAAGATGGCATGTCAAGTATTAAAAAAAAAATAGGACATCAAAGAAGGCCAGAGATATACGGGAACTTTTGAATAAATCAAACATTCATAATGTTCTTTTTAAAGATGTGGGAACTAAGGTCCAGGAGTAGGAATTAGCTTGCCTGCAATCATACAGCTCATTAAAGACAGAGCTGAGATGAGACCATGGATCCCCTGACTCCTAATTCAGTGTTCTTCCCACCATATCCAGTTGCATCTCCACAGGCAGCATCTTCAGAATGTCTCGAGTAGGACCATGAGTATCTGACTCATGAATGTTCATTGCAATTCAGAATGCAATCAATCCCCAATTGCCTCTGTTGACTGAGTGGAAACACAGTGTGGCCACCTCTCAAAGTAAATATTTGCCCTTGGAATTCAACTGCATAGCTAAAATAACTTTAGGACTAACAACATTGCCATGGAAATAACAACATAAGAAAAAAATGCTCATATACTTGGATCATTATTTTGTTAAAAAATATAAGACTTCACATGTTTATAGAATAACAAGAACAGCTGGACATTACTACATTGTAGATTTTTTCCTCCTAGATGGCTAGTCAAACTCTCCAAAATAGACTCTGTACTTTTATTTAACTAAATCTCCATCTTTATGGAACTATTTTTATATTATTACAACAAAGAAGACCTGTGATTTATGTTTCAACAATTTACACAGTTTCAGGCACTTCTGAAACTTGTCCCATCTAACATAACTTCTCCTTCTGGGAGCTTGAGATTGTAACTCTGTCAACCCTACTGCACACCCACCCCTGCCCACGTACACACCATTCCCAGCACCAGACTCCTTACATCGGACCACTGAACCACATTTATTCCTATGCCTTAAAAAAAAATCACAGGATAAACATGACTCATCTCCCCAGAATGTATTTTATTTAGTGGGAAGGAATTCTAAATGTTATTCATCAAAATCAGACATGGATAGGTCATGCTGTAGAAGTCAATACAAACCTACATTTTCTAACTGGCTATTTGGGCCTATGCCCCTGATCTCATGAGGCTTGGGAATGCAGGGTGATTACATATTTGCCTCTAACACCCAGGGTATTTTTGCAGTGAGAAAATTAGAGAAGTACTGGGAAAATTACTAGCCTAAAGCGTAGACAGCAGGGACCTCATTTTTAGTTCTGACATATACTACCTATGTGAGCTTCAGCAAACAACCTCTCTCCTGTAGGTCTTCACATCATTCACAAAAACAACTGATATTAGGACAAGTTGTAAAATGAGGTGATTCTTACATCTTGCTGTATTGAGACTGGTATTTCTATGACACCATTCAATTTGAACTGATAGTGAAGGAATTAGGAGATTTAGTGTTCCACATTACAGAGCAGGTAAGGAAAAAGAGGCAGAGGATTGTTCTGAAGTTCACATCAGCCCAATTTAGCACATGTATACTGAGGTCGACAAGAGGCCAAGGCCTGGGAATGAATGCAAAGATAAACAAGAGGCAGTAACTGGATGCAGTAACTGTCCACAAAGAAGATACACTCCGGCGTGGTGTACTGTATAGCAGCCACCAGCCACATGTAGATACTGAGCACCTGAAATTTGCTTAATTTGAACTGAGATGTGTAAGACTTAAGAGACTTAGTAGAGAAAAAATATAAACTATCTCAATAATTTATTTATATTGATGACATGTTGAAATGAAAATATTTTATTATATCGGCTTCAATCAAATAGGTATTTAAAATTAACTTGTACCTGTTTCTTTTTACTTCTTTAACGTGGCTATTTATCAGAAATTTTAAAATTATGATTGTGGCTCAAATTATTTTTGGTAGAGAGGGAAGCACTGATGTAGAAGATAGTTTCGACAGTGTTTCAGTGTGAAGATTATGAAAGGTCATGTTTAAGAATTATAGCAGCACAAAGGAAGGACATGTAGCACCATCTGGGAGTTTGGGAAAGAGTCCTGCAAAATATGCTTCCTGAAAAAACAATACCTAGAGGCAATGTGGATCCTAGAGTGAAACCAGAGGGGTGTGTTACCTTGAGCAAGCCATTGTACTTAGCCTCTCAGCATCTCTGTTTCTTCATCAATAGAGTGGGGTTGATACTAAGACCTACCTCGTCGGACTAACATCTGAATGTAGTGAGTGGAATCACGTGCACTCATCCCATGGAGGAGTGGCTGGCACGTAGAGTGTGAGTTGTATATTATTGCCCACCAGAACACAAGCTCCAAAAAGTCACGGTTTGTTCTTTCGATGCTGCTTGCTGCTCTACGCCCCAGAACTATCACAGAGCCTGGTAACAAATACTTGCCAATAAATGCTTGTTGAATGGATAGAGTATATAGGGACTACACACAGTTTAGTATTATTAAAGCACAGACAGTGAGCTAGGGAATAACAAAGAGGGCAGGAGAAGCCAGCCTGGTTTAATGCCCTTCCCTGAACCCCCATTCCAGAGGCAAGAGAGCCAGTAAAAGATGCCAAAAGAGAAACAGCTGTCTCTTGTGTTTTCAGTTGCACTTAGCCCTTTACAATATGCTTTTACATACCAGTTTCCAACTCTGCAAGGCAGACAGCAAAAGAATTAAGCAAAAACATGCTCGGTTTATTAAGAGAAGAATCCAACCATAAAAACAGGAAACTAAAAAGCCTCACAAAATACCATCAGTGTTATTAGAATAACCAGAGTTCCTTGTTATCTTTTATTTTTAATATTTTCTATCTCTGTTTTTACCATGGGCATATGCTATTTTATAGTCAGGGGAAAGGTATGCTGGTTTTTAAAAGAAATGGAGAAAAGAATGGGAAGCTGGCTAGACCAGATGGAGTTCCCATTCAGAGTGCAGTCAGAGCTGAACTTCATCAGAAGGATGAAAAATGTCTGGATTCCACAATCAACATGGTGGTGCCCTTGTAAGAAGATACTCCTAAGTGGCTGGTCTTTCTACAGATGTTGAAGTCAAAGATTTTAAATACTTTCATTGCCACTTCTTAGCAATGTTAACTTTATTTAACTAAATATATAACCTGGGCACTGCTCAGAGATACAATAAAAACTGAGAAGACCCACACACTCCCTCCTTTCACCCATCTGTCTGAACTCTTGTCCCTCCTCCTCACCTTTAACTGAAAAATTAGATGCTTAAAATGCTTTAATGCCTTCTCTTTCCACTTTGAAGAAAATCCTGATTCATTTATAAGTGGCCTGGAAGTACTGCATAATCTAGCTTTTGCCTACACACACCCTTCCAGCCCATAGACCCTAGTCACAGCTATCTTCCTTCAAAAATCTGCCAAATATGACAGTTTCCTTCTGACATGAGCCTTCACGTACCTGGCTTCCCCAGCCTGGAACGTTCAGCAAATTCCTAATCTTATCCTGACCCTCACCCTTTTCATAGCTGGCTCCTCCTCATCTTATAATTCTTAGCTTAAATATTAGTCTACTCGTGGAAGCCTTCCAGACCACCTATCTAAGTAGTTTTCCTTCCAGACCTACTCCGTAATTATTTTCCTGTCTCTATACCTTCCTTGCCTCATACATCACAAGTTGTAAACAAAGTTCATGTCACTTACTGCTTTACACCCCAGGACTATGGGGACAAACAACATGAAAAAATAAGTAAATGTGTATACATATACAATACTCTTATGATTAATTTCTTCACTAGATTATAAGATCTATGACAGCAGAGACCATATCTGGGTTTTTTTAATTAAAAAAAAATAGAGACAAGGGTCTTACTATGCTGATCACGCTAGTCTTGAACTCCTGGCCTCAAGCGATAGTCCCATCTCAGCCTCCCAACGTGCTGGGATCATAAGCATGAGACACTGCGCTTGGCCACATATGGTTTCGTTCCTTCTGTGTGCTATGTACCTTAAGGAAATACCAGGTAGTAAGTGCTCAATACTAAAATCATATTATTCTGACTGAACCTCATTCTTTGAACCTGTAATTATTGCACATTTCCTGGGCTGAAAACTGGGAGAGTTTGTTTTTATTTTCTTCTTATTCACTCATTCAACAGCATTTATTAGCACCTACAATTTAGCCGACATTTGTGCTAGTCACTGGGAATAAGAAAAAGGGTCTGATCCCTGGCCCATGGAGACTGCTTTCTAGTTAAGGAAGGGACAGATGAACATATAATACCTGTAAAGTGTTGTAAGTTCTACACTGGGGGACATACTAGTGAATAAAAGAACACAGAGCATATAAATTTTCTTCATGGTACCTTGTACATTTCCCTGTGTTCACTGCAACATGCTACAAAGAAATGAATTAGGATTGCCCTATCAAGGAGCTTACCTGAGAGAAACCAGCTGGGAGATCACCCTGTTTTAGGCCACAAGTCAAAGAGAACTCTTATCCATCATTATATCAAAGAGCTTGTTTGTAATTCATTCTCCTTTATCATACTGACATGAAGTGATGCTGTGTCTGACACAGAATATAAATTCCACAAGAGCAGAATTTCATTTTATTCAGTGAGGTATCCTTAATACCAAAGACTGAGCCTCATCCATAGTAGGTGCTCTATCAATATTTGTTGAATAACTGGGTGAAATCACAGATCAGAAAACCAAAGCTTAGAGCCTGAGGTACTCTTCTAAGGTCACATGGCAACCAGGTGGTAAATCTCATTTCTAACTCTACTAATTCTAATTGCTATTAAGGGAACTTTTGTTCTCCACTGTTTAAAGATGGAGCATCAGAAACTCCCACATCCTGCTCCCAGACAGGAGGTAAAGGGCCAAGATTTGGAAGGTTCCCTACAGTTTCCTTGAAAGATACAACAGCAGGTCTGGGGAAGGGTTACTTCTGACTCAGGATACTTTGCTGCACATTTCTTCTCTCCTAGCTCTGAGGAAGTGCTCAGATCTGGAAAAAGCCATTGCCACCACTGCTCTGATTTTCAGAAACTCTTCTGACTCTGATAGTAAACTTGAAAAAGCTACTGCCAAAAATTTGCTGCAAACCCAATTTAGGAATTTCACAGAGGTGAGAGAATTAACTTCCGTAAAGAAAGAGGAATCCTCACAGCTGACCCAACGAGTGAATAACTCCAGCTCCAGGCCGCCGTCATGTTGTCTTAAACAACGAATGTTTATCGAACACTTACCTTAATGCCAGTCAATGAGCTATAATGGAGTTAATGCAGTGAAGAAGACAGCAACCCAGCAGGGGAAAGAAACATGCTAAAAAAGTAATTAGAAATAGTCAAAGGATGTGAAAGCGTAGAGCATTCAGTGAGAGTAAAATGAGGAACTATCTTCAGGTAGGTAGTAAAAATCCGGCTCCTGGAAAACCAAGGTAGAGCTGAGATCTGAAGAGTGAGCAGGAGGCAGCTAGGCAAAGGGAAGTGAGAATGATGGCATTCCAAGCAGAGATCTGGAGGGCCATTTGGTGAGAAAAGATGGGAAGGTAAGTGGGAAGTGGTTAGAGGTGAGGCTGGGGAGGTGAGGAGAAGCCAAATCTTATAGAAGCATAGTCCAAGGGCAAGAGGAAGCCAGGAATAGTTTCTAAGTCCAGGTCTAAGAAATTACAGCAGCTGTAGTACAGAGAACAGACTGGGGTTGGGGGTAGAATAGGAAAAAAGGGAGTAACTAACTGTGGGGAGGTAATCCAAGAGAAAGATAGTGATGGCTTAGACTACGGTGGTGAAGATGGAGAGAAGTACACAAATAGAAAAGACGTTTAGGAGGTGGAATGAACAAGATCTGACAATTGACTGTGAGCGTTTAAGGACAGAAAAGCAAATGGTGACAACCCAATTTGTGACTTATGAAAGGAATGGTGGTGTTCCCATTCCTAGAGAAGAAAATGACTAAAGAATGAGCAGATTTGAGGTGGGATGTGGGCAGGAAGGAGATGGTGAGTTCCATTAGGATGTGTCAATGTTAAGATGTCCATGAAATATTTAAGAGGAGAAAAAGACAACAACGGGATAGATGAGTTCAAAAGTTAGAATAGAAAAAATCTCTATTCTAATGATATTTCATATCTATTTGAACATATTCTGTGTTCAAAATATAGAAATGATAGTCAGCCCTATATAATCGGTCACTGGCCTAAAGGGAGTAACCTGACTCACTTAAGGGTGTATTCCTCAAACTTCAGTCATTGAATACCATATTCACTATTTTCCCCACATCTGCCTATAGCCTGTGTTATCATTTGCTTTGAACTTTTCCTTCATGTTAAGTAAATTTTTATAAGGACACTTTATCATTATTCTTAATGTAAATTCAGTGGGTGAGAGAAAAAGATAATAGTGAAAAAAATCAATGACTATCAATTCTTATTTAATATTTGTTCTTACATCACCTAAAATGGCATTACATTCTATCATGAGTGTATGTTCATACTTTGGAAAATCCCAGCCTAGGGAAAATGTATAAGAGGAAAAGAGGGCCTCATACCAGCCTAAACTATCAATATTTATTGATAGGTAGAGCAAGAAAGCACATAGAGGTAGTCTCTAAGTGCCTATGTCTGTTCTGAAATATTGAAAAGATAGTATTCTATTTATGCACACATATACATACCTACACACCTATAAATGGTTTTAGTGCACTACAGTTATACAAGATGTATAACTGGGGGGAGCTGGGTCAAGGGTACAACTTCCTGTGAGTGGGTGAGTATTCCAAAAGGGAGAGAATATAGTGTGATACACAGACAAATGAAAAAAAAGAAATGTTAATTAGGGTTAGCTATTTTGAGTAGTGGGGTTACAGTAACAGTCTTCTTTTTAAATATACTTTTTCTAAGTGTTCTAGATTAAACATGTATTTTTCTGAATTTTTTTTTTTAGAAAAGCTACTTTTTCAGACAAATATCAGACAGAATTTACCAAGAGATAACAACTTTTGGGGAGTCTATAAAGAAAGGATGGGTAAATAAATGCTATACCATTTGCCTGCATCCAAGGCCAAAAGAAATGGGGCCCATATGCCAGATAGAGGCCCATTACCTGGTAGCCTGGCAAATCCTCAGCAAGCTTTCAACAGATACGAACATGAAGAACTAGTGGTGCACGAAAATGAAGAACTAGTAGATGCACCATCTTGATGTAACTCATCACCCCTCTCAAAACACCAGGGGAAAAAGAATGAAAAACCAATGATTAGGAAAGACACCCTCAGCCTCGTAGCTCTCAGTGTAGGCTAAACCCTAGAAGTACAGTCAATTTCTGGATCTCTCTAGCAGCAGTCACACCCAGGCCTCGGTACAATCCGGCTCTCTGCTTGAGAGGAATGCAGAGCTGTACTTCAGGGACTTGAGGGGACAGTTCATCCCAGGGCATTCTCTACAATGTCTATCAGAATGCTGCCTTGGTCCCAACCACCCCTACTCCATGAGACCCCCCCCTAGGACAGGTGCATGAGTTAATGGCAAAGCTAAGGAGCCAACTTCATTCCTAACTGAGTTTTTTCCTCAATCCCCATGTGGTGTCCCCTGATAAACTGAGCTGGTTCTTTCAGCAAAGGCCTGAGTTCTAAGGGGAATATCTCCTTTCCCATAAGGCTAAAGATGGTTTTGAGGATCTTAGCACCCTATAGCCATTCAGATAGAGTAAAACAACGCACTGAAAGGCGCTACTGGGAAGATACAAAAAGATGACAGGTCATGCCCTAGGAGGACTGGACCTCAGAAAATGGTGTGCTCTTACAATATGCAGAAAAAAAAAATAAACAAGACCAATACCTATCTGGTACCTCTGAGAAAACAATGTACCATTCTGCTAGTAAAGTGGTCTTATCTAACTGTGTCTTGGATTTTGACCCTTTCAAAGTGGCATTCAGCTCTCTTGGAGGGGGGAGAGTAGAGAGCTCCTCTTGGCCCGCATGGATAGGGTAATCTCTTGAGGAGAAACAGCACTGAGAAACTAGAATGGGTCTAAGTCTATAGGAGGAATGCAGCATCATTCCCAAAGTGCCTTAGTCATTGCTGTGATGGCTTTGTACACCTAGCATGTGGGTGAGAATTTAGGGTGGAACTAAATGTAAATATGATTCAGTATAATGGTGAATCAAATGACTTCAATATTGTTAAGGTCACTGGGGAAGATAGTTCACAAGCTGTGATTTGAAACTAAAAATCTCTTCATTTATATACTATTAAGATGTTTTCCTTCAATCTGACTATTTATGAAGACTATGAACATACATTTTATTTATAACCAAACTAAATGCTGAATCATCTTCCAAAGTGCATATTTTCTTTTAGCATATTTTATTCTATATTTTTGAATAATCTTAAGTCTCAGATGGTGAACCCGTAGTGGATACCTTCCCTAACACAAAGAATTCAAAAATTTAAAAAATAATATTTTTGTTCAAAGAAAGGCAGAATAGCTTTGCAGTTAAGAGTATGGGCTTTCAAGAGGTAGAGAGGCTACAAACCCTGGCTTCACACCAGAAGCTTCCCAGCTTGGGGCAAGTTTCTTTATTATCACCTGTCTCTGATGCTGCATCTGTAGGATGATAACAGTAGTATATATTCAATAAGGTCACTGTGATAATTAGATGAGATAACACATAAAAAAGATTTAACATGGTATTTGACTGGTGGCAAGGTGATATATTATTATTGTTAATAACATATTTATTACTTACTATAATTTGGATGTTTGTCCCCTCCAATCTTCATGTTGAAATTTGATCTCCAGTATTGGAGGTGGGGCCTTATGGGAGGTGTTTGAAGTTATGTGTTATCTCATCTAATTATTGTTTATGATCTGCAAACCTAAAGTCTATACAATGAATTCGAGTTTTATTTCCCTATTCTTATAGGGACAAGAAACCAACCCAAAATACAGAGACATCCTTTCTGAACTTGATGAGCACACAGAAAATAAGCTAGATTTTCAAGACTTCATGATCTTTCTCTTAAGCATTACTCTCATGTCAGATCTGTTACAAAATATATGGAGTATAAAAATTATGAAATAAACAGTTTTAAATATGTTGTATAAAATAATGGCAAAAGACAGTGTTAAGTTATTAAAATGACTATATCGGTCATGCATCTGTAATTGCCTAGGATGGTTCTTGCTGGTATTCAAATCCAATCTAACTCTAAAAATGTATGCATACACTTCAGGAATGTTTGAATGATAAGGTCTCTGTGTGCTTTACAATATGATAGATTTGACACCACTGAATACTAAATTGCTTTTACTGAGTCAATGGTGACCTAGAGCTCTCTACTTATAGTCACTGAGTCACTCATTTATTCACTAAACATTTGTTGAGCATCTACCTGATGGTACTGCTGAGGATACAGTAATGCATTGGCCAGACAATTCCTTCCTTCAGGCATGCTTGCAGAAGTGTAGCAGAAGAGATGGACATTAAACAATGTTTAATTAATTGCATACACAGTATAATTAGAATTGAAATAAGGGCTATAGGATGCTAAAAGAGATTACTACCTGATCTGAGTTCAAAGGTCAGAGAAGCTTTGCTGACATTCCATAAAAAGCAAAACAAACAAAAACAAACAAAAAAAAAATGGTCCATGGATGCCAGGGATATGGGTGGGAAATGGGGCTGTCCAAAAATGGCACAAGGACTTTTAAGGGGGCTGGAAATGTTCTCTATTTTGATTGTGAGGTGTTGGTTACATGACTGCATGCATGTGTCAAACTCATAGAACTGCACACTAAAAAGAGTGAATTGTACTGCATGTGAATTATACCTAAATAAATCTGACTTAACAAAAAAATAAAACCCAGTATTCTTGTAATCTCTGACCACAATTTAACCAACAACTCCTCGGGATTATGTAAAAGTAGTCATATCCCAGAGACCCACACTGACCCCCATGACCACATCTTATATTACTGAGTTTAAATTACACATAAACACACACACACACACACACACACACACACACACACACACACAGAGAGAGAGAGAGAGAGAGAGAGTGAGAGAGAGAGAGAGAGAGAGAGAGGGTGGCGGGGGAGAATATCAATGTCTGAACCTTTAAGATTCTCACAAAGACTGTTATTCACATAGGACCTTGCCTAAGAATAGCAGGCCTCAGTAGGGTAGCCCAGCATATGGCGATGAGCACTCAAGGTGCCCAGAGCAGGCACTGGGCAACAGCCAGAGCCACAGACTTAATCAACCTGGCCTTCAGAGATGCCATCTTACTCTCTCTTTACATGGGAGTAATAATGTCTCCACTCTCCGACTGCAGAAACTGAGGCTTTGAGTAGCTAAATGATGGTCCAGGGTCATTCAGGCAATCAATTTCAGAGTCAGAATCCTGGAAGAAGCAGAGGTGCCAAAAGGGGAGGAGAAAGAGGAAACATAGTTTTCCGGCTTTGATTCCCATTTTGTCACAGTCATGTGTGCAGCTCCACAGTCAGGCAGACAGTCACCTAACAGGTACTGCAGGCTGTTGCCAAGAGAAAGATAAAGAGAAATGAGTCACAGTCCTTACCTTCCACGAGTTTATGGCTGGCAAAACGTGTCTGTAAATATGGTCTAGTGGAGCTATTCTATAATGTGTGGTAGGACCGTACTTCTTTGCTTCCTTACAGTTGAGTGTGTCCCTCCTTTGGCCAGTGACATTTGAGCTGAAGTGAAATATGCCACTTCCAGGTGGAGGCTCTGAGAGCCTGGGCTCAATGCACTGCCCTGTTTCCCTGGGCTGTGATAACTGGCAACATGCCCCATAGAGGCTGTTCCTTTAGCCAAGGTCCTGAGGGAGGCCAATTTGGAGCAGAAGCCCAGACAAACTGATACGGACATCTTGCTGAAGGAAGAAATAAAAAGACTAGGGAAAAAAAAGACCTTTATTCATTGTAAAATTATTGTTACTTGCCATGTCCCTCCCGGACCTCTCTTTTTTTTCCCAGCCCAACATTGCATGCCTCATAACCTATATTAAGAAAATCCTTTGTGGAGAGAAACCTTCAGCCTTGCTCTGGTGAAGTGTTGCTTCATCCTGTGGTTTTCCAGATCCACCAGAACCCAACACGTTGGCCCTCCCTACTTCCCAACCTCAGACATTCTAAATCCAAGAGCTTACTGATCACGTAAAAGAAAGCCCCAGACTTTATCCTCTCATTGTTTTAACGGGAGGCAGATGTGTTTAACAAAAACATTCAAACTCACTTATCTGACAAAAGAAGAAAAAGGAATTTAAGAAAATTTGTTGTATGTCCAGTTTTCAAAGACTTCTTGCTTTGAGCCGTTTCAGGTTGGGTGACAGAAAAGTTTTTTTTATTTTTTTTTATTTTTTATTTTTTATTTTTATGAACACAGGGCTCATACTATGTGTCAGGCACTGTTGCAGAGAGTCCCAAATAGTAACTCAAAATAGTAACTCATTTAATACCCATGACAATCTTCTTAGATAGGTATTATTATTACCATCTTCTTAGACAGATATTATTATTACCATCTCATAGATAAGGAAACTGAAACATGAAGATTTTTATTTTCATGAATCACACAACTAAGCAAATTTGAGAGTTTCCTGCTTTCCCCAAGGGCATTGTTAATTTTGCTTTAATATTAGACTTGTGAGCAATAATATTATAACTCACCAAAAATAGCTGTGCACATTTCAGGCACTGTGCAACAGATAGCAGTACCAGCTGGGCCCTAGAGAACCATTTGGCATTCCTCAAATAGAAGTCTGTGGGCTGTTCTCCCTCAAAGCCCTTTGTGTCTCAGTTGCAAGTAGCTGAATATGGCAACCTTGGTGGCCAATGGAAAGGTCATATTCACACCTTTCAGAGAAGGAAACCAGAGAGCCTGACCAATGGTATGATGAAGAATCCTGGAGTCCTTCCAACTCTATGGGCTCCCAGTAAGAATTTTTGAAAATCCATCCCAGATGGAAAGTCACATTTTCTGGGAGGGATATCAATTATAGAATCTATTTTAGCCTGATGCAAAGAATGCAAACAGCAAGAGCACATGTACATGTTGAAGGATCAGCAGCAGACAAATCAATGAGTGTGATGCTAAGACACTAGAACATAGGCCATCTACTTTTTGGTTCTAGTCCAGGAGCATGAGCTGTACTCTAAAAACCAAGCTGCCATTTTGAAAATGTTACTGATCATCACAAGTGAGACTGTGATGCAAAACTGTCTTGAGATCCCTTGGTTGAAAAGAAAAAAATCCATTCCAATTACACATATATACATATACACACAAACAAGAAAAAAGAGAGGGTTATATTTATCAAGGTACAGTGCATGTAATGGATTGAAAGGGTAGAGAATGCAATGAATGTCCACACAATACTGAAAACAGCAATAGAAAGCAAAATTGAGACTTCACTCTCAGTTTCTCTCAAATGAATTGGTTTCTAATCTCTGTTTCTCTCTGGATGTGGTCATTATTCTGTATTCTCCTTCTATCTCTATTTCCTAATCAATTATTTCTGGATCTTTGGCACAAGAGCCAAACACAGTGTTCCCATTGCTGACTTGACTTTTCTCTTTAAATGCTCATCAGACACTCAGTAGCATCTCAGAAGGCCCAATTCTCATCCCAGGAGAGAGACATTGATTGGCTGAGTTCAAGTAATGACTTGTAATCTAATTGTCTGAGGTCAAGGAGGAGGCTGACACGCTCACTCAGCAGGGACTGTGGGCACTGACTCTTACAGAGTCTGTGGACAGGTTCTCAAAGAAGGAAGGGAGGGACTGAAGAGGAAGTGATTGATAGAGGAAATTATAAGAATCTCTAGTACAAAATCCATAACTTGCACTAGAAGGGCAACGTTATTTGCATCTCAGATATGGGCTTGGCAAAAGAGTACTGAAGGAATAATTTTGTCTGCTACTCCAAGTGAAACCTTCTGGGTACTGTCATTGTACAAAAGAAGCTAACCTGAGTCTCCCTGGGAAGTTTTCCTGTGATTAAATATAGCCAAGATATTCCTATATAAGAGCTGCAGCACGCTTGCAATTTGAGCATGATAAAAACATACCCAATCCAAGAACCCCTAATTTTCTTCATTTTAGCATTTAAAAATGGATCCAACTCTGAGATCAGGATTTGTGCTTTTAATAGTTTTTTGTGAGAAAGGGGGAGAGGGTTGGAAGAAAACCAATAGCGATCCTGTTCATCAGCTGACCTCTTCATGGATAGAGCTAAGAAGATCTCTTGGGGAGACCATTCTGCTGAATAAGAAAAGGCTGGGCCAGGCCATTAACAAGTGGGGACAGGGACCCACGGAATTCAAACCTGAGAGATTTGTTGTGCTAGCCTTCTCTAATTTCAGTCTAGGCCACATAGATTCTGATTTCTCTTTAATACTTTAGGAGGCACAATTTTTAAATAATAAAATGCAGGAGGTGGTATGGTATAAAATGGAATTTTTAATGTTTTCTATTCCCACACACTTGAGGAATACCACACATTCCTGTTACAAGTTCTCGGTACCTTATTCACAACTCTAAATCTAAAGAACAGTGACCATTTAAATAGTTTCATAATTATTTGGTAACAAATCACAAACTGTAACTAACTAGAGGCTATTTGTGGTCTTTATTTCTCCCACTTTGAGTGAGTGTTCAGAGTGTATAGCTAGGAGATCTATGCCCCTAGAGAAATTGTTGATTTATAGAGGTAGGCCAGAGAGAGGACCTGAACTCTAGTCTGATATACCACTACAAGCTGGGTGGCTCTGTCAAAGTCCTCCACCTTTTCTAAGTGAGCCTCGTGTTTTTCTTTCATATGAAATTTTGAGATCAGAAAGGAACTTGTTTTCTTACAGAAGTTGCTGTGGGACTTCAGGAGACATATACACATTTCAGAAGCACTAAGTGTACCTATTCAGGATCACAGAGCGTACCTAGCGATAGCTATTCTAACTTGCCTAATTCTAGACAAATTGTTACCATCATTTTCTTTATTAATAGCTGCCCTTTATAGGACATCTACTGCATTCAAATATTGTTATGTAGTCTTTTATT